ATTATTATTATTATTAGTTAGGAATTTTGCAGTTACTAAGTATTTCTCTTTGGTTTGTGTACAGGGTCAGTGCTGGTCACTATACAACCTTTGCTTGCCACGAAGGTAAAATTTATGTAAGCACATTTTGTAAAACTGTGAAAAAACTTACGGTGTGACCGTGACCGTGACGGTACCGGATCTCGGCCATGATTCTGATTGGATGAACAGCAATCTCGCGAGACGTGATTCATTCAACGGATATCACAAATTCCGTACCGTGACCGTGACGTTACGGTGTCCGTTTCACAGTCATACGAAACCTGCTCTAAAATTATAATTTTTATCAATCGACGTAATTACTGTGACAAAGCTTTATTTGCCCCCTGGACACCTTATAATGCCTTGCGATCCAATATGGCCGCCGTATCATCGAAGTAGTCCATTAAACTAGCATTACAGCTAGCATAGTCCAGTGGGAGTTGGAAGGAGACGGGTGGTACATGGGCCTTGGCTATAAATGTAGGTTCCCTGGATTATCATGATCTTACCAATTCTTCATTTTTTAGGAGCCTGGTATAACTTTAACGACAGCAACGTCACACGAACAGACGAGGATCACGTGTCCAAGGCTAAAGGATATATCTTTTTCTATACTCGACGTCATCCCGACATGTCAATCATCGAAAAACTCCAAGTACAGAACACTATACTAAGATAGATATCTGATACTTTAGATATCTTTACCTTGGGCATAATGTTTTCCCATTTCAGTATTCAGACCACGCGTCATCCCCTTTAGTATATTTTTTTGTTTAACGGTTGCGTATAAGAAGATACATGAATATGGATATAAGTCAAACAAATATTAAGAGAATGGCACGTGGTCTGAGATGGGAAAACATTACACTAAAGATAAAGAGGCGTTAAGCACGGAATTGCATAACTTTTCAGGCTTCTGGGACCCTGACTTCTTCGCTTGTGGAATCGGTTTCCTGTAGTTTTCCGGGTTCCTTCAGTTAAGGGATAAAGTCAACACGATTTTCATCTTATGGGACAAGATTTACGAGAGAGGGGAGAGGTTGTTTGTAGCCGCCGCCTCTGGAAGTGAGATCCAAGATTTTGTCCTCAAATATCTCCAAAATTAAAAATAAATTCGCCGAAATGAATTCATTCAACTTTAAATGTTGGAATCATCGGGAGAGAGGGGTATTAGGGAGAGAAGACAAGTGAAGGAAGGATGGGATGGGATAGGACGGAATGAGATGGGATGGAAGAGAGGAGAAGTGAAGAGAAAGGAATTCGAAAAACTAAAGGCTTCCATCTCATTCCTTCCTTTATCTTCCCCCATTCTAATTTTTCTCCAAATCCCAAAGTTCAAAGATCTTTGTTACCAATCTATAATAGGCTTAGTAAGTTCAATCAACTACACCCTAAATACCCAGCGCCTCAAAGTCGTCTGTGTCGCAGAAACCTGAAAAGAGTATAGGGATATCTTATGTACAGAGTTTTTGACGGCATAGGACCGTTTWTTTTAAGTCTTTGATATTATTTTTATTACCAAAACACCACAAAAACCACACCGTTCTGGCAGGGCCTGACTATTGTTCGTTATTGAAGTATGCGTATGTTGAAAATTTGAATTGAGATTATGGGTAGTGGGACAATGCAAAATCACTAAGTTTTGTCGAGCTCGCGACAGTCTTGACAATTACATTATTCATGTCTTTCCTCTCTTTTCTCAATGAATAACACTAACGGAATCTTACCGTTTGTCGTACGACAAAGTAGGTTTTGGTGGATGTCAATCAAAGTGTTTCCATGACATCGTCGGGTAACCCAAAGTTTTAAAGGGCACGTGGCTATGAGATATCTATTGTTGTGACGCCATATTGTACGATTCCTGGCGTGTGTTATTGAGAATGAGTGAGTTTATGCGTTATAGTAAGCAGCTCGTCTATAACAACTAACAATTACACGGCTCAGAAAATTAGAAATGAGTTTAGGCTGGTATCCTTTGAACAACGAAAACTACTAAAAACTGAAATGGCTTACGATACTGGCTTACAGTAAATACACGGTACGACATGTAGTAACGTTAAAATGGCTTCCCATAAGAATGTCTTTAGTATGAGTGAGAAACGTACGGTACTGACTTGCATCATGTATACGGTACGACATGCCGTGACAATGAAATGGCTTCCCATAACCCTACGTTATATAACGCTTTTTTTTCTCACTCATACGAAATCAGCTCTATTGCCATAGTTCAGTTACTAGATTTTTTCTCAGACGAACCAGAGTGATAAAAGCTAGACTTTTTGCCAAACCTCTTTCGTTAGGAGTGAGTTGTAGCTTTGAGAAGAGTGAAAAGAAGAGAAATTGGCATGCATGTCGTGTCATGATATCAAGTTCGTTACCAGCCTCCGCTCAATTTGATATGGCATCAAAGTGGCCTAGGTAAGAGATAACAAAAAATCCATTGAATTTTCCTTTCTTTATATAATAACCTTTCTCATTCACGAGAAATACTGTTGTAGTCAACCTTTATTGTATAAATAATTTTGTACAGAATTGATTAAAAGATAACATTCCCGCTTAAGGGGGGAAACGTCCATCCAAAATTCAAGCTTCCTTTCTATATAATATAAAAAGAAAACTGTCATAACTCGACGACACTTTCTGAAAACATTTTGGCGGGAACCTAAGCACCAATTTTCTCGCGCCCGCCCGTTTGTCTGTAAGTCTCGAACGACTATACGCCTCTGATTTCGTTAATCCTGTTTTCGTTTTCCACAGTAATTAGGGGGGGGGGGGGGGGGGGGGGGGGGACAAACAAAAAACAAATAAACAAACTTGAAGAAATATTAAATTTGAGGTGGCTCCCTAGAGTTTTCGGTAGTTCCAATAGTAGTCAATGCTAAAGCATTCGTTACAACAATTTCAAATAATGCGAAATCTTGAAATAGCCGAATAAAAAAAATTCCACATTACCGCATTTCTAAATATTTCGACAACAGTTTAACCTTTATATGATAAAAAGAGTATCGAATTTTGAAGACATTTTACCGTCTAGTTTGGGAGTTATTTCAGAAAAAAGATAAGGCGTGAGAACGATATTTTCGTGACGTCATCAAGATAAAAATTCTTCAAGCTCTGGTTCTGAGCATGCTCGTGCGAGCTCGTGCACAACCTTGCGCACGCGTGTACAAAAGCTAAATTATTTCTTAGCAATCTCGTACCCAGAGCCTGCGTTTCTTCTGGCCTGCGGCGTAGAACGAGTGCTCTGGCATAATCTATTTTTTGAGACCAGGATTTCTTGGACTTCCGGTATAAGGGCGCATACGTTAAAAGACTTGCCAAAAAAAAATGTTCCTCATTTTTAATTCTTATTTTGATCGAAAGTAAATACAGAACTCTGTTTGAAAGCAGGTTTGAAAGCATGATTTTCATTGATTATGTTTCACTTCCGGAAAACTGCGCATGCGCCAAAAATGGATTATGCCAGAGCCCTCGTTCTTCGTCGCAGGCCAAAAGAAACGCAGGCTYTGGGTACGAGATTAATTTCTTAGGAACAGATTTCAAATGCTTCTCAAAGCAAGAAATTCTGTCGAAAACTGTTCATAATTGAGTTTACGAAGTTCTTTCGACGAAAGGTAAAATTGTTCCTTTACGCCGGGCTGGACTTGAAAACTAATGAGAGGAAAACATAAATAATTAAACTCTCCTTAGACTTGCCAGCCATTGATTTGCTCTCGAGTCTGAATATAAGCTTATTAACGGACACAGAAATTCGGTAAAAATAAGTTCACATTCCAAATTTTTCACACTACGATTGAATGCAGTATTCTTACGAGTTGAACATAATTAGAGCAAGTGGTCGATATAAGTGTTTTTAATTTTTATTCAAGGATTTTATTTGTGTTTATTGTATAAGAATGTCGATTATTATATCTTTCGGACACTAGTAAATAAAACAGATTTTTATTTTTATATTTACACATATCAGTGGATAAAGATAAATTTGAATTTTATTTTTCTAACTTTGCTTTGAAGACCTGTCTATTATAATTTATTTAGTTAATTACTCCTCTGCGATCCTTATTTTCGAAGACAAAATACTTTCATTGTTGTAGGTTTTTCGGGGAAAAGCCTTTATTACTCGAATGTATAAAAATTAATAGTAAAAACTTATAGGAAAGTTTCGTGAAAAAATAAAACTTGAAATACTTGCTATTTTTTAAAAAGTATTCAAGAATTAGCAAGTTTTTTGAAGTTTTAGTTTTATTTTTCATTTTAACGAGATAGAATATTGGGAAATTGTCAATTTTGACAAATATTCCTTTGCGCGCCTTTCAGAAACTTTGTATTCTTGAGCAGCAAAAAAAATTGCCATTCCTTTGCAACATTTTTGCAACAATTTATGTAATTTCATGAAGCGAGACTTCCATTATTGTGTGACACTTTTATATATGATTCTTCGAAAGATTCAGTGTCAAAYTGGAAGCGCTAAAACGAAATTCAAAACGAAACTGAGCTAAAAAATTGAGAAGTGTGAAGCACAAAATCCTGGTATTTCTCATAAGTTCTGAAATTGAAAAATAAATTGCTGAATTTTACTTTAATTTCGTAAATAATTTATCAGCGATTAACAATAGTCGAGTGACGTTAAAAATTAAAACCCGGTTGTCAAATAAAAGTATTTCCAATTTCATTCTATTTTCTTAAATAAATTCCGCTTATTTTACTACCGGTCAAAAATGCATTCAATTCAGAAAAAAAGCCCACTTCATTAATGACTTATTTCAGTCATTCTTATCTTTATTCTTTATTATTCTGTTAAAGGGATTTTTTTGTCTGGCAAAGAGAGTGCTTTAGTCAGAAAATATGCCCAATTCTAGACAGCCAAACCTATACATCAATGATAACATATTTTAAAGTCGATAAGTCTATAAGCTGAAATATTCTACTGAAAAGCAAATTTCCTTTTTATGTTTACATAACACATTTAAATTTCTTTTTATTTATTAATTTGAGGCTTTTCATAAACTTTGAAGTCCAAAAAGCGCGCGTTTTTCACTTAAGCTGCATTTGTCGAAACCATTACAGACATGGACTGCTTTTACTCCAATTAATAATTCAACGAGTTTTGTATAATTCCTTGGAATCATATGCACTAACAATACTTCTGTGTTTGTGCCAAGCTATTCAGCCCGAAATTATTTATGGTTTTGGGTTTGATTAAAGTTAAATAATTCGTCATTTTCGATACCTTGATTAGAAAAATCCGTTCCTGTTCACTAGAATTTAAATAGTAAAAACATTATCTTGGAACGAATCGCTCGGAAACAACATCGTTATTTTGTGTACAAAAGTCTTACTTGACGGCCACAGTCGGTGATTCGATACTTTTCTTACTCTGCAACCATGCTTTCTGTTGTTTTTGAAACATCCATTTTTAAATGGAATAAATAATTCATGCCGATATTCGYATTTACATATGTGGTCAGCCGTACGAACATTCTAGACTTCGCTCTTAGAGCTAATCCTCGGCCATCATTATCAAGTATACTTCAAAACAAGGTAAGAAGTAGTGGAATCGAAGTATTATTTTCCAGTTGTCTTTCTTGAAGTAATTAATACTCACAGAAACAAAACTTAAAATTTCCCATCTCGACTGGTTTAGGAAAAGTAGGAATCGTTTTTGTTGAAACTACGGCTGGAGTCTGAAATATACGACTGAAATATTCCCAAGAACACTGGTGAGCAAAAAAATCTTATCCCTTATCGAAAAAATAGAATTTATGTCTTAAAATTATCGAGTTTATCATTATTAAGAATTTAAGAATTATTTATTTGATGTGCGCGCGAGTGGCAATTATAACTGTAAAGGATGAAGAAAACTTAAAGGCGATAAATTGTTTTTACCTTTTTTATTCATAAGTAATTCTCCATTCCATTCTAATATATGAGAGTTTTAAATCATTTTGGTGACACAAGCATTGAAAATTTGAAGAGATCGTTATTGAGAACTTGATTTCAATGTCAAATTTTGGTTGTCAAGCTACGTCGTTAATACAAAAAWATGAAATTCCTTAGGAACTTAATATCGAAAATTCTAGTCTCTTTCTGACCACATTTTTAACCAACTTCATCATTTTATTTATTTCTTTACAAAGTTATGAAAATAGAATATTGTATGAGTTCATTTTGTGTCTTATTTTTACCCAAGTTGTRTAAATATCCGGACGCAAGTAAAACGTTTTTGTGACAGTTTGTGAGGATATAGCTCTGAGAATGGCCAGATTATGCCGATCAAGTAACTTTTCAACACTTTGAAAAGATTATCCTTCAAAATTCCTTGCTTTAGCTATGTCGAGCGAATCCATAAGCATTTTATTCCGATTTTATTTTGCTCTGATTTGTTAAAGTATCGATATTATCAGTACAATCTCAGTCTCTTTTATATCAGCTTTGATTATAAACGTGAAAGGTTTCAGTTCTAAGTGCTTAGACGTTATCCTCTTGGCTTGAATCATATTTTTGCTTTCATCGTTTTTTCTTTTGAATCTTTAATTCTTTTTTCTTTCTTAYTTTCTTACTTTTTCAGTTTTCTTATTTTCTTATTTTCTTTCTTCATTTTTTCTTTCCTTCGATCTTAGTCCTTTCTTCCTTTCTTCCTTTCTTCTTTTCTTCCTTTCTTCCTTTCTATCTTTCTTCCTTACTTTTTTTATTTTAGTCTTACCCTCTTAACATTCTTTTTTTCTTCTTTTCTACAATTTTTTCCCTTTTTTAAAGATTATGCCTTCGTCGAAGAACTTGAAGTTCTCAGATATCAAATTTAAAATAAAAACATTACTTCCACAATTTCCAAAATATTCGTTTCTTATGGTTTGTTCATGTTTGTTGCTCGCATGAATTCATCCAAAAGGACGCTATTAAAAAAAGTACAGTAAAATTCATTTTTAATTAATTGTATTACCTGGGCGCTCGCTGTTTTTCCTACATTATTAATATAATTATAACTTTAAGCCAAATTTTCCTTATTCCCAGCCTTTACACTGTAGAAATTTAAAACTGGATTCCCTGCAGTGTGTAAAAGAGGTTGTGAAGGTGTTTAAGGTTTACTCAGACCGATTTGATGAATTTATTTGTCCTTAGCAATTGAAAGTGATATGAAAAACKTAGCAAGCCATTTTGCACCTGTCGCGAAGGCCGCACTGTAAACTTTCAATCTACTGGCTCAGTTATAATTTTTTTTCCAAATTGGAAGCACAAATTACGACATTCATTTTCGGTTTTCGTTTGATAGTTTTCTCGCCCAATAAGAAACAGGAATTACGACTTTTATTAAGCTTTTTTTGCTTGAGATTATTTCTTCAGTTAYAGTCAAACTTGAACTACCATTTTTCGTTACTTCTATAAGTAACTAAGCATTAAAAACCAAAGATTTTTACGCTATAATGGCCAAACCGTCATTACAATATTAACAACACTCGGAGCTCTTATACTGACAAACCTCCTTTTTCCYTAAAAAAATTGAAAGAATTTGATGTTACTCTGTGAAATTTAAGATTTCAATTATCAAATATCTTCTAATGTTACCTCTTTAAAACGGTAAAAATATCTGCTTTATTGACAAAATTACTAGTTTCAAATCTTTCGACCCAGTATCTGAATAACATTGAAAAATATAAAATAATTCGTAAAAATTGAAAATTTCAAAAAGTGCAAAACATTAAAAAAATTATTGATTTAAATGACGAAGGAAATCGTCCTATAAATAATACAAATTTTGCAAAACAATTTATCTCGACATAATTAAAATGATAGCTATACCTTAATGTTACAAATATATCTTTTTGTTTACTCGCAACAAACTTAATATTTATTTTACCCGATCGTATTTCGTTAGGTAAACAATACTGTTTTATCTTATCTCTCTACTTATTAAATCACGTTTCCCTGACGGATTTTTCATCTTAAAAGTTCACCATTAGCCTGTTTTATAACATATCTATAAGATGTTTGGAAAACAATAATTTTAGTTAACTAAAGTTACATTCTTTTTAATCGAATCCTATTTATAGAAAACTGAAAAAAACCTGCCAACATTCAACAGATAATTTTTTCTCAATYATATATCCTGTCATTCAAAATCAGCATTTTTCAATAAGGTTGACTTATCAGAGTTTGTTGACCCCAAATTGTTGCCAAATTTTGTATTATTRTTCAGTGTGTCATTCATAAACTTTTCAAATAATAGTTTTGACTAGAATTATACGATACAAAAAATCCCAAAAATGGGAAAGTCTTCATTATGCAACTGTTTGCTTTTTATATATCTTATTCATCGTTTTTAGTTCAAAAATATATTGGGTTTTGGTTTCCTGAAGCTACTGTTTCAGCGTTATCGTCATGGCAAACCTGTACACTACAACTTTAACCTACCCTACTCCCCATTCATCATCCTGTATCCTAACTCTGTTCGGTTTGTTGTTCGGTTTTAAATAATCTTTAAATATTTTTTTTGCGGATCTGTATCCTATACTTATGACATGTATTTATTTATAAATATACCAAATTACGTCCAAGACGTCCAAGTATTTATTTATATATATATATACCAAATTACGTCCAAGACGTCTAAGATAACCATATCCATGTTACGTTCTGGTTGTTCGGTTTTGAATAATCTCTAAATATTTTTTTTGCGGATCTGTATATCCTATACTTATGACAAGTATTTATTTATATACCAAATTAATGAACAGGAAAACTAAAAAAAAAACAAAAATTCGTAAGACTGTGTGTATCCCCCCCCGCGCGCTGTGATTGGTTTAAAGAAAGTCATAAATATCGTACCGTGACAAAGGCGTGTGCTGTGCCGTTTCAGAACATCCTCAAGCAACCGAATCTATTTTTCGACAAATKCTGTTTGCTTTTCGAATGCGCATGCGTATCGTAAATTAAATACCGTTGTCAAAATTACCTTGAACTTAAAAACCGGACAGCTAAATACAAACGAAATTCTTAAATTTTGGATTAACACGTAAAAAAGTGGATGGTTTTTAATGTATTTTTCTCCGTTGCCTTTACGAACTTAGAAACTGATTAACTGACATGATAACCGACTGAAACTGCACTGAGGAAATTAAAGATTTGATGCTATAATCAGATTAACCAACTGGCCTTCACATTTAGAGCACTTTCATGCGTATTTACTAGTTCAATAACAATAACCAACTTATCTTCGTCAAAAAAAACTCATAAACTTGAGCAAGCATCAATTCATTCTAAGAAGTTCGGCTCGCGGTTGACTGGTCTGTTTGTCCTGTGTTTAATTGTATTAAAATAGTCATTTTAATGGGGTATTTGCATGCCAAAAGTATTAATTTGGCGAAAATTTGTGATTTTCCCCAGGACCAAAGACTTACCTAGCTACCTACATTATTAAAAGGTTTTATCAAATAAGCAAAATCCGGATTAGTTTATATAACTTATTATTGGCCTGGCTTATTTTATCATATTCATCAGTGCTATTTATATTATTTTATTTTGAACTCGAAATTTCAATTTAAATCTTTAGAATTGAACTTGCATARGATTTTAWCCTTCTGCATGGATATGTGGCTAAATATCGCTCTCATAGCTTCAGATACAAAACGTGAATTCATTTCCAACATTTTGAAGCAATATTGGCAAAAGATTGCTTAATAAAAAATCCGTCTTTAAGACATGTTTGATGAAGAATTTTTTCCTAAATACTAAATGTTCTGACCCATTTCTTTGATGACATTGGTAGCGACAGATGTATTGTGCTTYTATTTTTGCTTGACCAGTGATCGAATTGTAGTTTTTCCACGTATTTATTGTTAATATTTTTTATATTACTGGGCATCTAACTTACACTTTAATACGGTAACTGCAACCGTCTAATGACTACTCGACGCTGCCAGGAATTCATTCAAATCCAAGGGAAAAAAACCTTCAAATRTCAAAATACTAAAGTTAAATCCTAAATAATATTTTTGTTTATTTACTTTGCATGCAAAAAAGGAAGAAAGAAAGAAAATAAGGGGGGGAAAATGATATATGTTTGTCCCCTTTTTTTGTACTGTACTAAGTCGTAGTCTTTTTGTTTTATTATCATTATTTTTATTATTATTATATTATTATTATTGTTATTACTATTATTATTATTATTATAAATCTTTATTATTAGTCTTTTGGGGGGGAAGAAAACCATTTCGTGTCATTGGTCATCGATTTTAGCTACCATACTTCCTAAATGTCAACCGGTGGCGCTA